GGTGACGGTTTTTCAAAAAACGTTTAACGACTTTTTTAGGTCAACTGAGCAATTTTTTTTCCGAGCGTTCCCAGAGCACCGTAAAAACGCAATTTCGGCACAACTTTCAGCACCCCAAGCAGTGTTTTGAAATAAAAGTCAAAAAGCCGTTTTGGGCACTTTCTGGAAAATTTTGAGTGAAAAATTCCAAATTTTTGGCGCGCGCACGCCTTCAATATTAGTATATATTACTGCCGAGGGCGCCTCATGAAAACTTTAAGGATTGGTCGCCGAAAATGGAGGCCCAAAAATAATAGCAAATATGTTCCTTTGGCTGCTGTGGGGATCGCATCCCTTATGGGGATGAACGCTTGCCCACAGCCTCCTTCTCCCTGTATCATTAAATTCTAATGTGAAATTTAAGAATTTCTGAAATTCATTTAACAGGAACTGAAGAAACTTTGGAAAAAAAGTAATTTTTATGATAACCTCTAAAAAAAATCCAGTATAATCGATTATAATAGGTTATAATGGATTATATTGACCTGTCAATTTATATGGATTGTAACCGATTACAATGGACTAGATTGACATAAAAAATATTATGATGATAGTACATTTTTAATGGATTACAAAACTGTAATTTTATAGACGCTGACCAAAAAATGACAATATAATTGATTATGATCAATGGGCGCTCGGTGCGAGTAGTCGGAACACTTGTTCAGAATGCGTATTTTTTCAAAATTTTTGCATTAAAAATTCGAAACTAAAAAAACCCAATTTTTCTAACGCTCCTTATGAGAAACCGCATAACGCTCTTCACGAGAAACCAACTAAGAAAAAAACCGCTCAAATTCAAACAACACTGATTTAACAATGAAATTAAAACTATAAAATTAGCACGCAAAAACACAAACCCGCAGCTATTCACGATGATACACAATTCGAAACGCATTTTGCTCCATTTTCTAGGTTGCCTTTTTTAATAAGCTAAATCTAAATATATGTTCAATTAAATTTTTCCATTCCCAAGAGAAGATGTTTCCATCAAAGTAAAAGTTGTCACGAATGGAAGACAAACTCTATATTACTAGTTCGAAACCAAAAAAGAAGAAAATTTTTGCAGCATGCTAAAGAATTGGCGAAAAATTTTTCAAAAATGGACTGAGAATTGTGAAAAAATCAAAAACTATAAGTCATTATCCAAAAAAAGTGTTTTCTCTGGAAGAGTTATCGCAATAATAATGACTGGTGCACTGCAGCCATGACAAAGTTGAGAACTTATACAAGTATTGGCCAGTCTCAGTTTACAAACAGTCATTGTTCATTCCTTGCTATAAATCCCACAGTGAAGCACTAATTTCGCTGAAAAATACTAATTTATGGAAATTGAGAAAATTCTACTGCTCCTCCGGAATATAGAACAAAACAAATTTTTCATATTGTATCACTTCGCAGGTACCATCGACAAAAAAAATTTGATTTGTTTGAAGTGCAAATAGCACAAAACGATGCAAAAATAATCATAGAAAAAACAAAAGGAAAGTTTTCTGAAATCTTTTTTTTAAATGCGTCGTTTTTGTGCTTGATGGTATGCAAAAAAAAACCAAAAATGCATTGAAAATGGTCGTCATTGACTATCAACAAGCTAAAATTAACCTTAAAAAACTGATTTCCAGAGTAAAACTAAAATTCATATAGCTGATGCTTTTCCTGTTGTAACAACTGCTAGTTTGCTTTTCACGCAAGTAACTAGACAAAAAACAAAAGGTTTTCAACTATTTTTACAAAAACAATTTATAATATCGTTCAAATCACGACTAACAGGCTTCTTGTTTTACCAATCACGCTGCTCCAGTTTATTCTTTTAAACCTTATATGGCGTGTGGGGGGATGATTTCATAAAAAAAAAATTTAAATTTTAGAAACCAAATAGTTCATGTTTTTATCTATTATTAATCGATTATAATAGGTTATAATGGATTATATTGACGTGACAATTTTTATGGATTGTAACCGATTACAATGGACTAGATTGACATAAAAATATTATCATGATAGTACATTTTTAATGGATTACAAACTGTAATTTTATAGACGCTGACCAAAAAATGACAATATAATTGATTATGATCAATGGGCACTCGGTGCGAGTAGTCGGAACACTTATTCAGAATGCGTATTTTTTCAAAATTTTCACATTAAAAATTTGAAACTAAAAAACTCAATTTTTCTGACGCTCCTCATGAGAAACCGCTTAACGCTCTTCACGAGAAACCGCCCAAGAAAAAAACCGCTCAAATTCAAACAACACTGATTTAACAATGAAATTAAAACTATAAAATTAGCACGCAAAAACACAAACCCGCAGCTATTCACGATGATACACAATTCGAAACGCATTTTGCTCCATTTTCTAGGTTGCCTTTTTTAATAAGCTAAATCTAAATATATGTTCAATTAAATTTTTCCATTCCCAAGAGAAGATGTTTCCATCAAAGTAAAAATTGTCACGAATGGAAGACAAACTCTATATTACTAGTTCGAAACCGAAAATGAAGTAAAATTTTGCAGCATGCTAATGAATTGTCGACAAAATTTTCAAAAATGGACTGAGAATTGTGAAAAAACCAAAAACTATAAGTCATTATCCAAAAAAGTGTTTTCTCTGGAAAAGTTATTGCAATAATAATGACTGGTGCACTGCAGCCATGACAAAGTTGAGAACTTATACAAGTATTGGCCAGTCTCAGTTTACAAACAGTCATTGTTCATTCCTCGCTATAAATCCCACAGTGAAGCATACTAATTTATAAAAATACTAATTTATGGAAAATGAGAAAATTCTACTGCTCCTCCGGAATATAGAACAAAACAAATTTTTCATATTGTATCACTTCGCTGGTACCATCGACAAAAAAAAATTGATTTGTTTGATGTGCAAAAGTTACAAAAATATTCATAAAAAAACGAAAGGAAAGTTTTCTGAACTCATTTTTTTAAATGCGTCGTTTTTGTGATTGATGGTAAGCAAAAAAAAAAGTAAATCAAAAATGCATTGAAAATGGTCGTCATTCACTATCAATAAGCTAAAATTAACCTTTAAAAACTGATTTCCAGAGTAAAACTAAAATTCATATGGCTGATGTCTTTCCTGTTGTAACAACTGCTAGTTTGCTTTTCACGCTAGTAACTAGACAAAAAGGAAAAGGTTTTCAACTATTTTTACAAAAAAAAATTTATAATATCGTTCAAATCATGACTAACATGCTTCTTGTTTTACCAATCACTCTGTCTTTTTGATTGTTTTTATGGTGCCTGATTTTGGGTTGAAAGTTTTTCTTTAAATTTGAAGTCATTTCCACCTCTGTAAAAAAAGACTACTTGTATCAAGGCACAGCTCTTAAGGTCCAACTTCCCTATAACAATCATGAAAAAAAATTTTGTTATTAAAAAAGGATGATACTTTTCAAAAGAAACAAGGCTGCTCGTATCAGGGCGAAGTCCTGAATGTTCCGAATGCTTTTTAAGGTCTATAGAGCAGTAATTACATGAGAAAATTAAATATAAAAAAATAATGAATTTTTCATTTTATTTGAGATTTTTTTGTGAAAACCATCCCCCCACATGCCATATAAAGTACAACGTGATACATTTTGCTCCTATATACAAACCAGTTATGGCGAAGAAGTTCCTGTCAACAAATTGGCTAAAATAGCAATTTTTAAATCCCCATAACTTTACGAAAAAAAAATCACAAGTGAAATATTTTTTTTCAAATTTAAGCTCAAGACAACAATACCTGTCGAATGATATAAAAACCTTCGTTCAAAAATGGCCAGTTAAATAGTCGAAATTTGTCTAAGAAAAACCCACCCCGAGCACAAATACTCCGTTACTTTCTATACAAAAGCCGGAACAATAAATGCAAAAGAAAATGATGCTCGATTTTCCCACATAACTGATAGAAAGAACAAAGTAACGAATACAATGAAACCAAATAGTGAAATCTACTTGGAACATTTTCTGAACCGGTTTGTGGAGCTGCCCACGCGTTAAAAGCATGAAATATGTCGCGCATTAGGATAAATTAGTAGTTTCTAATTACAAGTGAAAAGCTTTTTAGATTTGAGCTTAGGGCGTTACAATATTTTACATATCATTGCCTCAATTCAAATTTTATTTTAAAATAACGAATCTTCTGTTGCAACCACTGCACACAATTAGCAGCGATGATTTGTTCGAACTGTTTAAGCTTCAGTTACAGTAGCAAACTCTTTTCGTATTGAACAATCAGATTTTATTTTCTCTCCTCTTTTGCTTTTTGTTCCGACTTTCGATATGAAAGTGACGGAATATTTGTGCTCGGGGTGGGTTTTTTTTTCTTCAGACAAATTTCGACTTCTTAACTAGCCATTTTTGACAGAATTTTTTTATCATTCAAAAGGTATTGTTGTGCTGAGCTCAAAATTGAAAAGATATTTCACCTGTGATCATTTGTCGTAAAGTAATGAGGGTTTAAAGATCGCCATTTTGGTCAATTTGGGACAATTAACGCGCGATATATTTCGCGCTAGTAACGCGTAAGCGGAGAGTCAATCCGTCTTAGAAATCGTTCCAAATTGGTTGAAAGACGCTAATTTGCCATAATTGTTTTGTTACAATGAGCAAAATCTATTCTTTTAAACTTTATATGGCGTGTGGGGTGATGATTTCATGAAAACTTTTTTTAAATTTTAGAAAAAAAAAATTTATTTTTTTTTAAAATTATTTTTAATTTTTTAATGTTACTACTGCTCGATAAACCTGAAAAGGTAGTCGGAACATTCAGGGCTTTGCCCTGATACGAGCAGTCTTGTTCTACTCTCGGACCATTTTTTTTGTAAACTGGCCTACAATTCTACCAACGACTTCGTTTGCACTCAAACGAACATAAATTAAGGAAAACTATTTTTTAATCGTACCGTAAAAACTAATATTTTATAAAAACTAAATTTCTTTTTTTTGTTCAATAAACATTTGATCAGGGTGTTAAGTTCAGCTTCAAATCTTCAGGCAGCAAAACGCCATCTGAAAAGATGGCGAATTCGCTACGACTTGAATCATCACGATAATTTCTCCTTTTTGGTCGCGAAAAGTTTGGATCGTTCAAATTTTCGGAGGCTACTGGAAACTGGCTGACATTTTTAGAGGCTCTTTGCATCGTTGGTTGATCGTAACTTTCAACAAGAAATGGATCTAATATTTGAATTTCTCGTAGGTTTTGTATTCCTTCAAGTTTTTTACTTCCAATGGCTCGTGGAATTCTATTAGAGCCGTCAGTTTCTCCCCCAAAAGTAATTGTCCGGTTTCTCGGCTTTAACTCCTCCGCCGTTAGTTCGTTTGAAGTTTTCGTTTCATACTTAGCTCCTAGTCGCATAATCTTCGCCCGTTTTGACCTTTCTTCCACAATTTTCATTCGGACAAAACTCTCATAAATTGACTGCTGCTCGAGTGATGTTAAACCATGGGCAACTTCTAAACCGGGAACCGGCGAATGTTTTCGTCTTTCGGGCAAGCCGAAGTCTATTACATCATCAGAGTTGTCAACGTACTCACGCTCAAATACTGCTGCTTCTACCTTTTGATTTGCTGTTTCAATTGTCCGTTTTGGCATTTCGTTGACGATGTCGGCTTGTCGAAAAAGAACTTTGCGAGCTCGGTTAGTTTGAAAAATCCAGTCGTAATATTTCTGTTCATTATCATCATCTTTCGTAGTTTTAAATTTTCGACTTCTCTGAGACAAAAACTCAGGAGCTGGTTTCAAATTGTTCTTGACCTCGTCGAGGTTATGTGTCAAAATGTGCGCTGTTTCGATTCTCGGAAGAGTTTCTTGTGAATTCACTTCTTGGAATGACTTCAACGATGGTTTCTTTGCGTGCTTCACTGCATCTTGCCATTTTTCAAAATCGTTAGCACTCCCCTCCTAAAACCAAATGGTTTCTAAAAACTCATTTTGAAAATGATTTAACTAAAAACTCGCCAGTGTTCTGCATTTCTCCGAAAATTCTTACAAGAATTATCAATTTTCATTTTATATGTCTTACGCAAGAAAAAAGCGCAAGGTTTTGAAAAAAACTTGGAGAATCTTAAAAGAAAATTATTATTGTGTGATCGGACAACCATCCCCCCGCTCCCCCTCCCTCATATATTCGACACCTCACCACCCAAAGTTTTGAATTATTGTACGGCATCTATGTTTAGCTGCCCGTCCCAATGATTTTCTTATTTGCCTTCGAATTTCCAAACCTGTTCATAATTATTAATACGGCTAATTTCTAAAGGAAAAGATTCTGAGAACTTTTCCCTGCGTCTTCTGAACTTGAATAAATGCTGAGCCTGATGTGCATTTGATATAGCAGGTACAAGAATGTGGCTACACAACAGGAGGAAATGATGGCTGGAACTTACAAAACCACTAGTTGCATTTAAAAAGTTTCCAAAAATGTCAAAAGAAAAAGAAGAGCTTTTTTCCCAGCTTCTTTCTGAATATTATTGAAATGTGAACCTGATGCGCGTTAGGTCTCAACTCATACGATACAATATCTGATTCGAGCTTCACTTGTTGTTCTGCCAGTTGTCGACTACTCTGGTCAATCTGCCTGGCGAAGTCCTTCTTCCTAGCCACATTCTGCTTCCACTTTTCGAATGAATCGAGAACAGTGTTGTCAACTACACTTCCTTGTCGCCATTGATTCCCGTCAGTTATAACTTGTTCTTTGACCTCACCATCCAGATGACTCTGGGTGAACACTGAGGGCCATTTGGGTCTTCGAGGTATGCGAGGTGCTACTAGTTGATTGTCTTTATCTCGGTTGTGAGCATGAAGGTTATTCGGTTCTTCAGAGGAGTGTGACTTTAACAGCCATTCCTCCACCTAATGAAACGAGAATTTTTAATTGAAAAGGGTGACATAATTATGCTCAAAAGGACTGGTGTAAGGTTAAAACTTTAAGAAATCAACAGAACAGCATTTAATTTTATTTTCATTACGAGGCCAAACTGTGCATTTTGTGCATTAAGCGGATTCCGCAACAAGGACGCTCCCTTTGTTCTTTTTTTGTTCTTTACTTTCCTTTGATCGTTCCGACAAAATTTTAACATGTTTAAAGACTTGTCTCTGGAATCCAGGAACATACAGACACAAAATTGTGCTCCTATCCAGTGCACAGTTTGGCCTCGTAATGTTGATACAAAAAAACTGGTTGGTTAATTAAGTGCAGTAATTGTACCAAAAACAGCTACTAACCTAAATAGAAGTTTAACGTAAGCAGTATCATATAACTTTTTAATGTTTTTGTTGAATTTTTTTTTAATTTTAAAAAATCCAAAATTTTTGTTGTGTCACTAGACTCGCTTTTTAATAAAAACTGCAATAATCAAAACAACAACAATAACTTACAACATAATACTGTTAAAAGGCACCAAAACAACAGAGAATCATTTAGAAACAATTGTCGAAGAGTGCGAAGGTGGACGAAGAAATCTTTTGAAGTCTATGAACACTGAAACTTACAGTCAAGTGACTCTATAATAGCATTTCAATGATTTTAAGTTTTATCAGTGGTGTCAGGCAAGGCTCAATCTTGGCACCTTTGTTTTTAATCTGAACCCTCAAAGGAGAAAATCTTGGAATTGCACTAGACGATATTGGTTGTTGCGGATCTGGATTTTGAAGATGATTTCTGTCTGCTCGACGGTAAACCGGAAGACGCACAAAAGCTCGTTTAGCGAGTGGCCGAAAACTCAGGGTACGTTGGACTCGAATTAAACGTTGGTAGGACTAAATTCTGCTCTCACAGTATTGTCCAGAAATTTACTGTCAACAACCAAGAAAAGAAAAAGTAGAAGACATTACGTATTTGGATAGTAAAATCCAACTGAGAGGCGATATTAAAAGAGGTCAAAACCTGGATAGGAAAAATAGCCAGAAATTTTAAAAGCTGAAGCAGATTTGGAATCATTAAAGCCTGCGTCAGAAGCGTTCTGCTTTATGGAGCCGAAACTTGGCCCTTAAAAAATCTGATATCAAACGAACCGATGCCTTCAAAAGCAGGTGCTCACAAAAGATTCTCCACAACGGAAGCAACCTATTTACATCAGACTTAAGTCCAAAAGCAAAACTGGACAAATGTACAGTTTTTACTGAACAACTCTAAAGGCTGAAGTGGATCGGTCATGCTCTTGGACCCCTGTAAACTGGGACCACTGGGATTAATCACTGTAAATTGGGGGGAAATGTTTGGCCTCAAAGCTATTGGACAACTCAAAGCATTGAATATCATCAGTGAAGATGATGACTATGCCCAGATTAATAAAAATAATTTGGAAAAAATCACGCATTGCATTTATAAGTATCCAGAAAGTAATCTGCTCTCGTCTCCTAGATATTAATTTTTTTTGGAACTGCGATAAAATCGAGTCAAATTCTGAAAAAAAAAACTCAGATGATGCGGGTCGAAATAGAAAGAGGTGAAATTAAAAAAATCCAACGTGAGAAAATTTGTCTAGCTCAAAATCACAAACAAATTGAACCGCAAACGAAATCACAAGTTTTATTTCAGTGAAGTTTAAGAAACCAGTGCAAAAACTGTGAACGTTCACAATTGTGTAATTAGTTTTGTTTCAATATAACAGTAATTGCATCAAAATGGTGAAATACTTTTTCCGGATGGGGTATTTTGACTCTCTGAAAAAAATGAAGATGATATACTGAAGAAACGATTCGGCAGGTGTTAAAACCAGCTCTGGTTTCAAATTTGAGGTTCTAATGTCAATTTATTGAAATGTACATATCAAGTTATGGTTATAATATTGTATGAATTTACAGACTATATCAAATTACTTTCGGAGGTTACGATTATAATAAATAAACATCTATTTGAAAACATCTAGTCCAACTATTAACTTGAAAACAAACATTCAAATGTTGGTAGGAATTTTGGATCGAGACATTCGTTTATTAATTCAACTCCCAGGTTATGCAAACAAACTACCAGCATTAATAGCATCAGCAAGATTACCAAAAACCAAACCAAATGATTGCATTCACCTTATGATAATAACTTATCCTGAGGAAACTGTTCAAGAAATTGAAATTGACTCTTCAAACAAAACATATGATTATATTTGTTCTTTACTGGAAGGAAATAGCTCAGCAGTCGTCATTACCGATTTCGAAGGAATTCACTTCTGTGTATAATTATTAAACCAGAAACAACAAAATTGAATGGATACTTTCCAAATATAAAATTTGGAGAAAAATAAATGTTCCTTGACACACTAAATCAAAATTTCTGCTTAATCTTATCTTGTCCTCATTTCCCAAAGAAATTCTATTCCCGGGTCACAACAGCAATTTTACCATCCGTAGCAATTGATAACAATTTACACTTAATTATCAACGACTTTCACCATAATCAAAATTACGATATTATCGTGAAGGAAACCAATCCTAGATACAAAGATATTCTTCACATCTTAAAGTATAAAAACTCAGCCATAATCGAAACTGCTTGTGAAGAAATTATTTTTTGTGAGAAAAATAATTAAATATAAACCCATGTTATTTAAACACAACAATCGTCACGTACTCCTTTACCAAATAGAAAAATCCTTCGACGCCTGTAACGGTTCATATTGTCCAAAACTTATCTTATATTTCGATTATTGTAACACGTGGGAAGACGGAACAATTGAAGTCTTTCACAACTCGCCATATTGGAATTTTTTTCTAGTTTTGTCGAATACTTGCTTAAGTCATCTGCCAAAGACATAAGCGATTTCCATTCAAATGATCTCACTAACCTCTCGTAATCTATTTATCCGGTTACCAAACCTACGTTACTCACTTATTGGAGTAGAGAAACACTCTGAAAACTTTTATCTTTTACATGTGAGTAAGGTTAACTCCAGTATATTAACTACAATCACAGTTCCAGGAAATCACCCTAATTTCCTTGAACTAAGTCATTTTCTTGCTTTTGACACAAATGCAGAATTTTTTCTAAATCCACCTATTTTCTCTAATTAGAAACAATGATGTTTAATATCAACGACCAACCAGTTTCAGTTATTCATATAAAGAAAACATTTGAATTACAACCACATTTACAAGTTTACATGATAGTTAATGTTCGATACATCGAAACAGGTACTTTTGAGGAACTTAGTATTTACCCCACTTCCCGATATTGGCCATTCTTTCTTTTTGTATCTGATCACCCAGAGTCTTGTCCTACCAATATTGAATGTGAACATTGTACATTAGACTAGAATGATAATTTTTTACGAAGGAACCTTTGTCCAAATTAAAGGTTTCCAACGCTCCTTCATTCTAGCAGAAAATTTCAAAATAATCCCAATTTTTATAATTCATTTCGAAACGCTTTATAATGGCGAACTACACAGCACCATTATTAAACCAAGCAATAAATACTGGCATTTAATACTATGTCTTGCAAATAGCTTAACATTTCCCATTCCCTGCGATCTAGACCAGATTGAATGAGCAGCGAGAATGACAACTGAATGTCCTATATGTTTGGAAATTTGCGATCAAATGAAAAAATTACACAAAAATTTACCTCCACAACCACCACATTTAGTTTGCGTTAATTGTTATAATAAACTCAAGCTAAGAGCTAGTACACCATTCGCAAAAATTCCTTGCCCCATTTGCAGGCAGATTATTCATGTAATTAATATGACAGAATACGATGTCTGTAATATCTGCAACCAATTAGTGTTATCCAGAAACAAACGGAAGGGTGAACATATGATAGTTAAGCACCCATATATTACTGTGTGCAATAACTGCATTGAGAAATGCAAAAACATCTGCCCTATCTGTTTTTCCAAAATTGCCTTTGATGAGTTTTGGGCATAATTTACTTTTATACAATGTCAAAGGAATGCCCTGTTTGTCAAGAATTGAAAACAACCCTTCAATTAAGGAAACTTCACAAAAGAAAGAATCCACAACCATTTTATTTTATTTGTGATGAATGCTACATGGACTCTCAAATCCAAAACTAACTTAATTTTTGACAAATTCTTATGCCAAATATGCCACCAGGATGTTCACGTATTAAAATTTCGAACAAATTAACAAATGTCTGACCTATAAAGGCAATAAAACAAGGAATAAACAATTATGCTGTTTGTTTAGGAAGTCGCAAAATGTTCTGCTTGGTAATGGACATTGATTTTGTCCTTGATTATAATCTCCTCGTCGAAGTTGACGGTTACCAAGCGCGCACAAACCGTATTTATATTCATCCCGATCAACAGCAGTTGGATATTTTTTGCCAACGTTATAGTCCTGGCTTCCACGATGAAGAAAAATTTACAGTCAAAAGCAGCAGTAGATTTTTTAATATTATCTTAAATGCATTCAACAATGACGAAGATGTCATCGACATAAACTTCCAAACCTCCAATCGAGTTATTTTTTAATTTTTCCTTCTTTAAAAGAATGATTCAGATAACTTTACCAGCTTTTATATGTAAAATTTTTCAAGCTTGTTATTTTTATTTCCAAAGTTTTCTTTATGTTTCTCAACCCATTTTACAGTACTTCCGAAAAACCATTGAACAACCCACTCTTGAATGCCCAATTTGCTACTTACCAAAATCCAAATTCAAGAAACAACATCATAACGAGCCACATCATCCACCACACTTCATCTGTATAGACTGTCATGACCAAATTGTAGCCCATTTTTCCAAATATGGACAGATTTTATGCCCCATTTGCCAAGTCCCAAATTATACCCAATCACTTTCATATTACTCCCCTTGTTGTTTATGCGAAAAAATGATTAAAAGCGCAAATTGGGGAAATACCCAAACCCAATGTATGGCAAGCTATCAACA